TCAGTCGTCATGATCCCTTTAGCAACGATAGACTCAACATTTGAATTATCCACGAACCATTTCACCCTCTGTGTAGATAGCATTGGCGCTAAGCTCTGCAAAACAAGATTTACAGTTTGCAATTCTCTCCATGTCGAACTCCTCTGTGTCTCAACCACTGACCACTTCCCATGCGCTTGGTGCTGTCCATACTCCACGCAATAACTACCGTAACCATGGCTACTAGCATCACTGCAGACAATTCAGATCACAACAGAAGCATCTGACAAATAACAGTTCTTGTGTTTATCAATATCACTCAACCAAAACTGCAACTGCTCTATGCTATCATTGGACAAATGTACAGACTGATTCCATGAGTCAATATTCACAGTTTGTTTAGACATGCCTTCTTTGAGTGGCATTGTTTAGAAGTTGGAGAGTAATATACAGACAAACTTTATGGATGAACAACTTCTTTATTCGGTAGATGCGACGTTTCGATACAGATTCTTGTATCGATATGATACTTGCTTGACAACGATACAAGAATCTGTATCGAAACGTCGCATCTACCGAATAAAGAAGTTGTTTAGGTAAGAGTTCCTTACGTACCCCCCACCTAATTTTTAACACTAAACTATAGACTAAACTATAGTGTTTGCTCATCACAAAAACAGGCGGGGGTTACGTAAGGAACTCTTTCCGTTGTTTATCCATAAAGTTTGTGTGTATGTTTAGACATGACTCTCGTCATCAACTGACAAACAGACCCAGTCACCATCTTCATCGATATATTCTGGCCAATCACAGATGGTAACGATCTCGGGGGAACTAACCTTCCATTCAAAAGGTTAAGAATACACTTCTTAGCTTTATCAATTCTCCTATCGGGAATAGATAACTTCATTACAGTAGTGGCAATGTTAATGCCGAGCCATTCCAAGACTTGTACTTCTTTACCTAAGGTACAAAACCTGAACGAATCTAATCGTTCTTGAGCGATTGACCTGATTCAAAAGCTATCTGCTTACTCATACCGCAAGACACCGTCATCTAAAAACGTCACAACTCTGTGTCCTTCAAAACACCAATATTTAACCAACTGTCTGGTAACCTTGGTGAATACATATGGAGCAGTAGCAAGGCCAAATGGCAACACCAGAAATTTGTAATATACTTTGTTCACACTTTCGCATCAAGCAAAACCAAAAAATTCTGTATGTTTCTAAAAAATGTCAACATGGTGGTAGACATAGTTAATGTCCAACTTTAAAAGCGAATCATGCTTATGTATAAACAACATAGCTCTTCTCCAGTCTTCGTATTTCACAGATCCCTTCCATAAATGCTTATTCCCCAACGATAAATCTAAAATCCAACGCCGTTTACCGGAAGACTGCGTTGAAACACTTAAAGGGCTAACCACTCTTGGTTTACCACAGCAAACTGTCACTAGGCCTTTCCGAACCAAATCTTGAATTACTTCATCAACAAACAGACGGCTATTTATGTCAGATCTGTTATTCCGTATTTCCATAGTATCTGGAAGTGAGTAAAATGGAATTTTGTACCTATTTTCTATTATGTCTATTACAAATGAAATGGCTCCGATATCTTCCCAAAATTCAACACTGGCTTTAAGCCTACCTTTCACAATGATTTCTACCTGACCACTTTCATATTCATAAAAGTCAGATATTAATGTAGGAACATCACTCTTATAGTCATGTACATAATTATGAATTTACTTAACTTCAGGCGTTGAAGATGATCTAGATGACGTTTGTTCCCGGAACTGGTTTCAGAAAACTGGGCTTGCCGTGAGGCAATGACGTCTCCAGTGGTTGAATTCCCCTCAGTGATAACAGGCGCCTGCCCTTTGACCCCGGCCGCGAAAAACTTGACTGCTGGTAGAAGCTTGAGTGACTTTGGCTGAAGGTCGCGTGCCAAACGACCTGTAGGGATGAGCACGTGCAAAGCGGGAACTTCTGGCTCTGAGCATCTTAACCGCTTTGCTTTCCGCCCGAGAGATCCGCTTGTCATCTTCCGAATCATTCGTAACAACTCGTCTCATTCCGTGACCTACAAAAAGACTCGTACCCCTACCGTACGCCATTATTGCCAAGAATCGTGGTAAACCAATCAAATCGCGCGTAGTAAAACGCATTTCGAAGCATGAAAATGGTGGCACCGTTGAAGTTTGAAACTTCGCTAAACTATGCAAAGCACAATTTAAACATAAACTGTGAGCCAAAGGATCAGAAACTGTAAACACTGAAACATAATTACAAAGGGAATGACTGGACTGCTGTTTTGCCCACGGGATATAGGATATTCTAGGAACCATATTTGGAAATTCAGTGTTTTCTTTCCTTGGAAATAATACTAGACTCTTTTCATCTCCATGCCCGTTTGCGCTTAGACAGGGCCCAGTCGTAAACATGGCCACGAGATGGGTACGAGACGCCATCCGGCTTGCCGGAATGACACGAGTAGTTACGAATGCTTCCGAATCTGTGGCCAAATGACGGGAAACATATTGTCTCACAGTGTCCCACCCTCCTTCCGAGGAACCTGCAATCTTGATGAGCTCATTACGTTTCTCCAATCGCTTGATTTCATTGGCTAAAATCTCATCTGAATAATCCAGTTTCCCGTACTTTATGCCGAACTGAATCTGATTTAAAGCTTCCAGAGTTTCTTCATTAAATTTAAACCGTATCTTATTATACCCTATGTCTTTCTTTCTCTGCTTTTAACCTTTGCAATTCTTATGACGTTTGCTCAAATTCACGTCGAAAACCTTGCAAACGTTCATCTAGCTCAACTTTCGAATCGTTCAATCTCTTCAAAATCACATCTAATTTCTCTGATATGGGTCTCTCATCCATGTTGCGTGAACCGGTATATTAATTACCGAGATGCCCCCTTTAAACGCCACCTACATTCATTATCTCCCTTTGTTGTATCTTTCTACGCTAGGAGAAAGAAATTCCATTCTTTTTCGTACCTCAAACGAAAGAAATTATATGTAACCATCGCTGACATGATATGAGCACTTGACGAAATGATTTCGCCCCACCCACCCCCACCCCAACCCCACCAACCCACATTTATGACCCACCCATCGATCTATCCATCCATCCCCCACCCTAAGAATGCCGTCACTATTGTGTGTGTGTGTACGTGCGTGCGTGTGTGTGTGTGTGTGCTGATTTCCCAAAGTAACTTGTCACTTGTCTCTTTTTTAGGAATGTACAAGCTCACAAAGTCCGACCATTTTCCCCTAAGAGTTTCCTCTTCGACCATCCCATGGCACAGTACCAGGACGCCTTGCGCTGGTTACATAAATTATTTTATTCATAAAAAAGGTACAAACGCTATACCACAGAAAATATGACAATCGAGAAACTGGCGTGTGTAAAACTTGAAACACTGTATAAAGCCTGTTCTTCAATTACAGAAGTTGCAAAAACTGACAAAAGTATTATATTCAACCATATCGAAAAATAGAGGAACAACTCTCAGAACAACTAGTGTTTTGTACATATGTTAGCAAATCTGCATACTTCAGTTACGTTCCTGAAACGACAGCGATTTAAATACCGTATTTCCTTTCATATGCACCCGGGGGCTTATTTTTTCAGCGGACTTCGCTCATTAGAGGCCCCCGGCGCTTAATACCGTAATAGAGCTGCTTTACGCCGGCGCTTATTAGAGGAAATACGGTGCCTGTTTCATCAGCTTGTTATAAGCTGTAAAGATGTAAGCTCAAGACAAAAAAGTACATTCTGACAGGTCAAATGTCGACATTGTATACACACACACAATAAGCTATACAACTGTTATGCAAAACATGCTAATTAGATGCCAAGGAAGTGTACAGTATTTTATCGTTCACGATACCAGCAACGTAATATTGTTTTGACAGTGGGAGACATTTAATTATGTTCTAACAATTACCAAGAGATGATTTTTACGAAGATAAGTTGGGAATGAATGGACGCCAGATGGCTAACGCTCGGTGGAAACCGTGTTTGAAACATGGAGCACGACGAGCTCTATCGAATCCATGGCGATTTAACTAAAGGGAACTAACTCTTACAAGACTAGTCGGCCCGGGAGGGCTTCAAGCTGTCTCTATTTTCTACCACTTCCTATACTCGTCTTCGATTCTTCATCCCTAATGCTTCAACCCAGCTGGTTACGAAATAGTAGCGTGCGGGACAGATTTAGCTTAACCCTTACTGAGAGGCGTGTGTGGCGAATCATCCATCGAATACCAATGCTATTAAAACAACATTATTAACATTCCGATTTTGGGAAGAGTGAGTGTGACAATTAAAGGCACAGTATCACACCACACCTCTCTAAAAATAAATAATGCATTTCTCTCAATAATACTAACTATCATTCCTCAGGGAAGCTACCATATAATTTATTCCAAAACCAATTATGTATTTAGATTAAAATATTAAATTAAAAGTTCAAATGAATTAATGCAACGTTGCATTAAATCGACTCTCGCGCCCCTCAACCGGTTGAACATTATTTCTAAGCAAACCCTTAGAGTTATGTCCCTTCGAGGCGCTCTTACGAATATCCTACGTACAACTTGTGATTGAAACCAGTTCGGCAAACACCGACAACACCGCGTGCGACAGTTTTCGATGTACGGAGCAATTGTTTACATTTCATATATGGCAAGTATTCTCTCTTTGGAAGCTGTTCGACTCGAAGTTTCAATTATCGATTTCAGGCAAGTCGTAAGGGATAATAAGTCTTTATTGCATCAATAGGAAGCTAAAGTGAGTGCATATGCCCCAATGTATATAATATAGGACAAGATATTGTCGAAAATGTGTGACATTGTGCCTTTAAGAAGGCGTTTCCTTGTGTGTTTTTGACTGCCAGTTAGATAATGCAGTCTACAGTAACAAACATTACTACATTCTACCTTGCCAAGAGACCTGATTGTGTCCGATATAACTCGTACAATCTTTGAGTCATGTAGGATCATGTCATGACTGTTGGATCATGTAGTATCATGTAACCACTTCCGGACCCCATCGCACATCTCGGTTACATAGTACTAATCATTTTCAGGTTTATGTAAACTCCAGTTGTTTTCATTTGATGTAAGCTTTTTGTAAGTTCACAATGGTGATTAATTAAATTAATTGTTCCATTTCCAGACTACGAGTCACGATCAAGTGATCAGCCAATTAGATTCAGAAGCAAATTTGCTGTGAATTCCCCCAAACATCCGGCGACTGAGGAAACGAGGAATATTCACTTCTGGTTTCCGGAAGTTGTTAACCTGATGAGAAGAAAGTACTGATAGACTTCCAGGTAACGGTAGATCGTAACGCCAGATGCGCCTGATGTTGTCAAAGAATATATTAACTTCTGGTCGCAAACGACCCCACAAGGATTAGCGTGCCTGCCACGCCCTCCAGTATTGCCCCCACAATGCACAGCGCGAACGCCCAGCTCAGGTAGCTGCTGTTGTTGCTCCGGGAGGCGTAGATGATGGCGCCGACAATGATGGTTCCAACTGCGATAGACAGAACATAGTATAAATGAGTGTTGTTTTGTTGTTTATTAGAAATGTTCCAGCTGTGTCTGTAAATAATGTAGTTAATACAAGGCGAGAACAACACAATCAGGTGATTGACATCATGAGCATTGATGGTGTCTATCAGTTAGATAATCAAGAAATAGTTATTTAATAGGCGGACTATTTGTTATGGGTATCATAGTTATTATACCTAAAGTTATTATACCTTAAGTTATTATACCTAAAGTTTACAGTGTTAACGTGACTGTTTCACACCTAATAACGTTTTGATAATATCTGTATGTTGATGTCATAACTCAATTTTCAGGTGTATGCTATTCTTTGGCCCGCAATGTAAAAGAATTTATTATTTTTATTTATCATAACATCCTCCAACATCTAAATTGTTTTTTCCGCTAGTTCGAATCTGGGTAAAAAGCAGATGCTCTTATTGAGGAACGAATTACGTTTGAAATGAACCAGAATGTGAAACAAACAGTCTTACAAGCAACGAAGCAGGTCAGCGCGTTGAGGATGGTGACGAGCTTCTTGTTCCGAAGCGACTGCACAACTAGGGAGAGGAACAAGATGACAGCTGCTATTCCAATGGCGATCAACCCGACAGTCTCAAAGAACTGAGTCGCACGAAGCCAGCCTGGAAGAAAAAGGTACCGTGAAGACTTTTCATATCGACCTCTCATTTTTGGCATGAATATGTGTAGAGATGACGAGACTTTATGGATGATCAACTTCTTTATTTTGACAATGGCGACGTTTCGGTATAGATGCTTTTACCGTTTACAAGCATACAACGGTATAAGCATCTATACCGAAACGTCGCCATTGTCAAAATAAAGAAGTTGATCATCCATAAAGTCTTGTCATCTCTATACCACCAACTTCTAGAATGCCACTCAAACAAATGAATATGTGTTCTATAGAAGTTTGTAATATTGACCCTTGGGAGCTTGGTCTGTCACTGCCGCGAGCCAAATTCATACTTGTACTACAGACGAAAATCAGAATGTCCAGTCATTCTCACGGAATGCCCAGGGCATGGACACAACTTTTTCAGACTTTCCATTGTTTGAAGAAGCCACAAGAAGAATAGGACGACGCCACAATACGGTTTTAAATGCCGATATATCACAGTTATGACGCAACATGAATAACCAAGTTACGGAAAGGTGAGAGTTGTGGCGAACTGCTTGATTCCTGACCGCTTACGGAAAAGGCGCGAGTACTTGAATTCTACGGAAAGAGGCTGACGAACGGCTTGATTCATTGGCTGCTTACGAAAAGAAGCGAGTTGGGACGGCAGACATCGATGACATGCTATATGAAAACACCCAAAGTACCATTTTTTCCGTTTTCCGCCCGCTGTCGGACTTTCATATTTGTCATGACAACTCTTGACTCTTAGTCAGGTGAACTAAAACACAAAAGCGTCTGTCGACAAAATAATGCCCTGTGGGTCTGTTAGTCTCTAGTCACACTGTATGTATGATAGATGCTTGTTTTGAACATGTGTCTCTCTGTACGCTGAGATACTACATATTCAGCTGTAACCATGTAACCACGAGCAATAGTAGACTGAATGCCATTTTCGTTTGGAACAGAGTGATACAGTTTTCGAAAATTATTGCAGACAGCACTGTAACAAAGATGCACTGTGACAGTCTCTTTTGGTTTCAAAATGTATGTTCTTGCCTTATAGTGAAATGCAAAATCTACACTTCTTCTTAGGACAATATAGGTCAGTGTATGTGAGTGGGGTAGCCATGTTAAAATGAAACATGGTATTTCACTGAGCTAGCACAATGAAACCACCATAAGTCCCAATTTTACCCCACCTCCTTCCGCAGAACACCTGTGGAGATCCGGGTCTTTTGTAACCCATGCTTGTTGTAAGAGGCGACTAACATTATCGGGTGGTCAGACTCAATGACTTGGTTGACAAATGTCATCGTATCCCATTTACTTAGATCGGTGCTCATGTAGTTGAATACTGGATTGTCTGGTCCAGACTCGATTATTTAGAGACCGCCGCCATATAGCTAGAATACTGTGGCGTTAAGCACCAACCAAACTTCCGCAGAAAATTATACAACTGAAATACAGTGCAAAGCGGCAAACAGATAACTGACTTTGTTATGAAAAACGGGTTGCGGATTTATTTAGTTGGATGGGTACTTTTAATATGCTCCAAATATTCCTCATCATAATCATACGGCCATTACATTACGCTAACCTGTTGTACTAAGGAACCTGCACAACTAGCTAGAGTGATGAGTTTCTGGATAGGGACGTCAAACTCTCATTTAACCAGTTGAACAGGTGCAGCAAGAAAGACCTGCTCCTAGCTGCTTGACAGATGTGTGTACAGGGATGCTTGATGGTGATGGTGAACGAGTTCTGTGGATGTTTAGGAGGTTGTCTTCCGATATCTTGTGGCATGAAATTAGTTGCAAGTTTAAAAGTAACAGTTGTGAATTTTATAGACCGGATGGAACTAGAGAAACACCGTACAGGAAAAAAACATACACTGTGTACACACACGGAAAAAACATACTGTGTACACACATGGAAAAAACATACTGAGTAAAATCGTGTTTACAAAGACTATTAAGTTTAATTGATAAATGCGTACATAAATTGCAAATGATTTCATGGATTTTGATTGGTTAATCAGTCAAATATTTTGCGTTTATATATGTATTTCCATTAACTAAAATATTTAGCCCACATTCACCACAGAAAGTGTCATTCAAATGGCTGATAACAGCGTTTCTTATATCAACACGTCACAGTTTAACCAGAACCCCAAAGTCAAGAAACTCGCAAGTTTCTGACAAAGGATTTGGCAAAATTCAACATGCAGTTATCATAAATATATGCTGAGGGGAAAAAAAATGTTTTCGAAAACTCAAAATTAAAAACTACCTCGCCCATGGGCGAGAATATTTACTTTTGCTCAAATTTCATGTTTTGGGGGTTTTGTAAATGAAAGAAAGCATGTTTATACATGTAATCACACAAAATTCATATTTATAGAGCATCATTCTCTGTTTTTGTTATATTTGTTCTGTTGTTCCTAGAGGTTGGGGTGGAGGCTTCGAATGTTCCTCATTTACCAGCTGTATTAAGAGGGCATATGGGTTCCTTGTTTACAGTGACTCATGGTCACTTACTAATAAAACTTCGTCAGCACTTTTTATAATATTTTATTTATGCGTTGGTTAACGCCACGTCCGGTGATATCCCATTAACAAGGTAGTCCGTATGTAATTGAATTTGAACCAGACAATCGAATGATTGACACAATGAGAGCATTTACGAAAGTTACGATTTGACGAAAAATGTACCCCCGATCCCTATTTCTCGCCTCTTACAAACATGTTTTACTTTAGGTAATTGCTAACCCGTATCTTCACGTGTCTTAATTAGTAAACTGGCTAACGGTATTGTAGGGAATATGCATCTGTATAATAACAACAATGTATTTTCATACAAGTACATTCTTCCTGGAGGATATAGCAATACAACCCCACTTCGTAATAACATTGATCTTTATACTCATAGCCGTAAGGCATAAAATTCATCCTGGTTATGTGCTCAACTGAACTGTTTTGTACCCATCAACACGACCTAAAATCACTGGCCTCACAAAGGTCGATGTAGCCTACCGTCTGTGGAGTCAGAGGGTCTGAAAATGTCTCATAAATGATGTTGATGGCGGGACATAGCGCCAAACACGATCTCATCCTTAACAAATGACCTACTTCTATAAAGTGTGGTTAACGTACTAACACTCACCCCCAACAAACCATCTACTTCTATAAGGTATAGAATAAATGTACTTAGCCTCACCCCTAACAAACCACCTACTTCTGTAAGAGGAGTGATTAACAAACTTTCGTTCACCCCTAACAAACCACCTACTCCTACAAGGGATATAATTAACGTACTTACTCTCACCACCAACAAACCACCTACTTCTATAAGGGGGGTGACTAACATACTTCCTCTCATCCCTAACAAACCACCTACTTCCATATGAGGTGTATAACTAACGTACGTACTCCAGCCCCTAACAAATCACCTACTTCTATAAGTGGTGTGATTAACGTACTTACTCTCACCCCTAACAAACCACCTACTTCTATAAGGGGTGTGATTAACGTACTTACTCTCACCCCTAACAAACCACCTACTTCTATAAGGGATATAATTAACGTACTTACTCTCACCCCTAACAAACCACCTACTTCTATAAGGGGTGTGATTAACGTACTTACTCTCACCCCTAACAAACCACCTTCTTCTATAAGGGGTGTGATTAACGTACTTACTCTCACCCCTAACAAACCACCTACTTCTATAAGGGGTGTGATTAACGTACTTACTCTCACCCCTAACAAACCACCTACTTCTATAAGGGGTGTGATTAACGTACTTACTCTCACCCCTAACAAACCACCTACTTCTATAAGGGGTGTGATTAACGCACTTACTCACCCCTAACAAACCACCTACTTCTATAAGGGGTGTGATTAACGTACTTACTCTCACCCCTAACAAACCACCTACTTCTATAAGGGGTGTGATTAACGTACTTACTCTCACCCCTAACAAACCACCTTCTTCTATAAGGGGTGTGATTAACGTACTTACTCTCACCCCTAACAAACCACATACTTCTATAAGGGGTGTGATTAACGTACTTACTCTCACCCCTAACAAACCACCTACTTCTATAAGGGGTGTGATTAACGTACTTACTCTCACCCCTAACAAACCACCTACTTCTATAAGGGGTGTGATTAACGTACTTACTCTCACCCCTAACAAACCACCTACTTCTATAAGGGGTGTGATTAACGTACTTACTCTCACCCCTAACAAACCACCTACTTCTATAAGGGGTGTGATTAACGTACTTACTCTCACCCCTAACAAACCACCTACTTCTATAAGGGGGGTGTGATTAACTAACAAACCACCTACTTCTATAAATAATTACTCTCACCCCTAACAAACCACCTACTTCTATAAGGGGTGTGATTAACGTACTTACTCTCACCCCTAACAAACCACCTATTTCTATAAGGGTGTGATTAACGTACTTACTCTCACCACTAACAAACCACATACTTCTATAAGGTGTGATTAACGCACTTACTCTCACCACTAACAAACCACCTACTTCTATAAGGGGTGTGATTAACGTACTTACTCTCACCCCTAACAAACCACCTACTTCTATAAGGGGTGTGATTAACGTACTTACTCTCACCCCTAACAAACCACCTACTTCTATAAGGGGTGTGATTAACGTACTTACTCTCACCCTAACAAACCACCTACTTCTATAGGGGTGTGATTAACGTACTTACTCTCACCCTAACAAACCACCTACTTCTATAAGGGGTGTGATTAACGTACTTACTCTCACCCCTAACAAACCACCTACTTCTATAAGGGGTGTGATTAACGTACTTACTCTCACCCCTAACAAACCACCTACTTCTATAAGGGGTGTGATTAACGTACTTACTCTCACCCCTAACAAACCACCTACTTCTATAAGGGGTGTGATTAACGTACTTACTCTCACCCCTAACAAACCACCTACTTCTATAAGGGGTGTGATTAACGTACTTACTCTCACCCTAACAAACCACACCTACTTCTATAAGGGGTGTGATTAACGTACTTACTCTCACCCTAACAAACCACCTACTTCTATAAGGTGTGTGTGATTAACGTACTTACTCTCTCCCCTAACAAACCACCTACTTCTATAAGGGGTGTGATTAACGTACTTACTCTCACCCCTAACAAACCACCTACTTCTATAAGGGGTGTGATTAACGTACTTACTCTCACCCCTAACAAACCACCTACTTCTATAAGGGGTGTGATTAACGTACTTACTCTCACCACTAACAAACCACCTACTTCTATAAAGGGTGTGATTAACGTACTTACTCTCACCCCTAACAAACCACCTACTTCTATAAGGGTGTGATTAACGTACTTACTCTCACCCCTAACAAACCACCTACTTCTATAAGGGGTGTGATTAACGTACTTACTCTCACCCTAACAAACCACCTACTTCTATAAGGGGTGTGATTAACGTACTTCTTATTCTCACCCTAACAAACCACCTACTTCTATAAGGGGTGTGATTTAACGTACTTACTCTCACCCTAACAAACCACCTACTTCTATAAGGGGTGTGATTAACGTACTTACTCTCACCCTAACAAACCACCTACTTCTATAAGGGTGTGATTAACGTAAACTTACTCTCACCCTAACAAACCACCTACTTCTATAAGGGGTGTGATTAACGTACTTACTCTCACCCCTAACAAACCACCTACTTCTATATAGGGGTGTGATTAACGTACTTACTCTCACCCCTAACAAACCACCTACTTCTATAAGGGGGTGTGATTAACGTACTTACTCTCACCCCTAACAAACCACCTACTTCTATAAGGGGTGTGATTAACGTACTTACTCTCACCCCTAACAAACCACCTACTTCTATAAGGGGTGTGATTAACGTACTTACTCTCACCCCTAACAAACCACCTACTTCTATAAGGGATGTGATTAACGTACTTACTCTCACCCCTAACAAACCACCTACTTCTATAAGGGGTGTGATTAACGTACTTACTCTCACCCCTAACAAACCACCTACTTCTATAAGGGGTGTGATTAACGTACTTACTCTCACCCCTAACAAACCACCTACTTCTATAAGGGTGTGATTAACGTACTTACTCTCACCCCTAACAAACCACCTACTTCTATAAGGGGTGTGATTAACGTACTTACTCTCACCCTAACAAACCACCTACTTCTATAAGGGGTGTGATTAACGTACTTACTCTCACCCCTAACAAACCACCTACTTCTATAAGGGGTGTGATTAACGTACTTACTCTCACCCTAACAAACCACCTACTTCTATAAGGGTGTGTGATTAACGTACTTACTCTCACCCCTAACAAACCACCTACTTCTATAAGGGGTGTGATTAACGTACTTACTCTCACCCTAACAAACCACCTACTTCTATAAGGGGTGTGATTAACGTACTTACTCTCACCCCTAACAAACCACCTACTTCTATAAGGGGTGTGATTAACGTACTTACTCTCACCCCTAACAAACCACCTACTTCTATAAGGGGTGTGATTAACGTACTTACTCTCACCACTAACAAACCACCTACTTCTATAAGGGGTGTGATTAACGTACTTACTCTCACCCCTAACAAACCACCTACTTCTATAGGGGGGTGTGATTAACGTACTTACTCTCACCCTAACAAACCACCTACTTCTATAAAGGTGTGTGATTAACGTACTTACTCTCACCACTAACAAACCACCTACTTCTATAAGGGGTGTGATTAACGTACTTACTCTCACCCCTAACAAACCACCTACTTCTATAAGGGTGTGATTAACGTACTTACTCTCACCCCTAACAAACCACCTACTTCTATAAGGGGTGTGATTAACGTACTTACTCTCACCCTAACAAACCACCTACTTCTATAAGGGGTGTGATTAACGTACTTACTCTCACTCCCTAACAAACCACCTACTTCTATAAGGGGTGTGATTAACGTACTTACTCTCACCCCTAACAAACCACCTACTTCTATAAGGGGTGTGATTAACGTACTTACTCTCACCCCTAACAAACCACCTACTTCTATAAGGGGTGTGATTAACGTACTTACTCTCACCCCTAACAAACCACCTACTTCTATAAAGGTGTGATTAACGTACTTACTCTCACCCCTAACAAACCACCTACTTCTATAAGGGGTGTGATTAACGTACTTACTCTCACCACTAACAAACCACCTACTTCTATAAGGGGTGTGATTAACGTACTTACTCTCACCCTAACAAACCACCTACTTCTATAAGGGGTGTGATTAACGTACTTACTCTCACCACTAACAAACCACCTACTTCTATAAGGTGTGTGATTAACGTACTTACTCTCACCCCTAACAAACCACCTACTTCTATAAGGGGTGTGATTAACGTGTACTTACTCTCACCCCTAACAAACCACCTACTTCTATAAGGGGTGTGATTAACGTACTTCTTACTCTCACCCCTAACAAACCACCTACTTCTATAAGGGGTGTGATTAACGTACTTACTCTCACCCCTAACAAACCACCTACTTCTATAAGGGGTGTGATTAACGTACTTACTCTCACCCCTAACAAACCACCTACTTCTATAAGGGGTGTGATTAACGTACTTACTCTCACCCCTAACAAACCACCTACTTCTATAAGGGGTGTGATTAACGTACTTACTCTCACCCTAACAAACCACCTACTTCTATAAGGGGTGTGATTAACGTACTTACTCTCACCCCTAACAAACCACCTACTTCTATAAGGGGTGTGATTAACGTACTTACTCTCACCCCTAACAAACCACCTACTTCTATAAGGGGTGTGATTAACGTATTTACTCTCACCCCTAACAAACCACCTACTTCTATAAGGGGTGTGATTAACGTACTTACTCTCACCCTAACAAACCACCTACTTCTATAAGGGGATGTGATTAACGTACGCTTACTCTCACCCCTAACAAACCACCTACTTCTATATAAGGTGTGATTAACGTACTTACTCTCACCCCTAACAAACCACCTACTTCTATAAGGGGTGTGATTAACGTACTTACTCTCACCCCTAACAAAC